ACATTCAGACATCAGTCCATGATGTTTTGCCTTGGACATCACCCTCAAAATTTTTTCTAACCTCTTTTATTTCTTGTCTTCTCATGATCTGAGCAGACTTTTACAGTCTATTCCTTTAGGACTCTTAAAGCTCAGTGAAGGTTTTGCTCTCAAATCTGTTCCTCCAAAGTTTCAATATTTGTAATTTGAGGAGACTCTGTGTATCACATAATCCACCTTTCTATTCTTTAGCTCTGCCTTTGAAATTCAACATTTCTTCAAATAAAACTGTTAATTAATACTCTTTATTGAAGCCATAGAGATTTACACCACTGATTTCAGTAATATCAAGATTTCACTCTCCTTTTTCTTATTTTGTAAAATAATTTATGATTTTGAAGGTTCTACACTTAAGGGACCAGGGGCAGGTACTTCAAACACTCAGTAGTGCTGAAATAGAACCAAGCAACTTCATAGTATTTACTGAGAAATAGTAGCTAAATATGAAGGAAGCCTGCAGGTGTCTTAATCTGGTGTTTTTTCAAGTGTTCTGTGCTCAAAGCAGCTGCAACCAAACAAAACCACCTTGTTGTTTTGGTTTTTTTTTTAGTATGTTTTTCTAAAAAATACAATTACAAGAATGGCCTCAATACTTATGTGTTAACATCTGCTTATCTTACATGTAATAATTAACAACGAAATTCTAAGATGAAAAGCTAGATGGAAAGATGTGTAGAGTGGGTATTGTTTTTGTTTTTTTTTTTTTTTTTTTTAGTATGTTTTTCCAAAATAAACAATTATAAGAATGGCCTCAATACTTATGTTAACATCTGCTTATCTTAGATGCAATAATCAACAACAAAATTCTAAGATGAACAGCCAGATGGAAAGATGTGTAGGGCAAGAATAACTGCCTGTAAAATATATACAGTAAGTATATTCCTTTCTGTGATATTCACCTTTGGCATTAAAACTCTTCTGAAACAGAATTACATGGTTAGCAACTATACTAAGAATGTTTATATAGCAAGGTGCACCTCTGGAATAGATGTCTCAAAAGCACAGAAATATCAAATCCTATTAAAAATGTAAAATCAGTTACTATTTTACAGTAATTATAGACAGTATTTCTTTTAAAGTAATGAGTCAGTTAAATTATTCAGTTTTTTGGCTATGCTTTTGCCTTAGAATAGATTATTTCTAGCTTCAAGTTTTTCTAATTTCAAGTTTTCACCTTTTACTGTACATAACTGGAATGAAACACACTTCCCTGATTTCTGTGCCATTCTTTCAGACACTCAGATGTCCGTGTTTAACTGGTTTTATTTGCTATTTCTTGGAAATCTAATTGTATTCAGAAGAGCTCCCAAACTGAATTGCACAAGACATGAGAAATGATGACTCTGACTCAGAACAGTGGTACTCCAATTCACACAAATGCAGCTCATCTAATGCTAATTTAAAATTATGTTTAAGATAATGTGTTGGTTTGAGACTGATTCTACCGGCAACAGAAGTGAGTCTGTTAACACATGCAATTTGTTCTTTTTTTGGGTTAAAGGTCAGTAATTTCAGTTATGTGACTGCGCTGTTAAAGTAGTAGGGGAACTTGCGCTCAACATTTTAATCTGGCAAGAATTTTAAAACCCAGAAAAGCAGAACAACAGAAATCACAACTGCTCTTACCCAAGGCTCTCGGGGTCAAAAACCCGGTTGAGATCACAGTCAATGTACCTGGTGCACCTCTCCACAGCCCTGGGGTTGGTGAGGAAGGGTTTCACCTGCACTCCTGCTCTCTGGATCTCGGCTCCATCCTGCTGCCAGTGCCGGACCAGGAGCACCCCCGATAATTCATTGCCGTGAGTGCCCCCGAAGAGCCCGACCCGTCGCACCCGAGCACACGGGGAGCTCATGCTCGAGCAAAACTTTTTCTCTCTGAGGGAGGAAAAAAAAAAAAAAAAAATCAATTTTTCCAGTAGGAGAGTCTTCCTTCTGGATAGGTCAGATGCAAAAAGAAAGTGAGTGGATTTCTCCCAACAGTTCTCAACTCAGTTTTGAGGCGGGATTTTCCAACCTCCCTCCCCAAGGAGCCTCCCCTTCGGTTGCTGTATTTAGTAACATCTCCGAGGCTGTTAATGGCACTGTTCCACAGTCCAAAAGTTAACTCTGGGCAGTCTTTATAATATATGATCTATAGGGAAATCCTGTGCTAATGAACAGTGGAAAACACTGGTTTTACACTTAAATATCAGGCATTTTTGCGCTGTAAATAGGTGCAACAGGTATTCTCATGTATGTTTGAAGTTACTGAAGTGTTATATTCTATAAGGGCAGAATGATTTAAAGTGAGCAAAATCAGCAAAATAAGAACTGTATCTTGGCTCTAGTCCAGCACACAATGCTGAAACATCAAGTATTTTCATCTAAAAAAAGCCAAAGAACAGCCAAGTTCCTCAAAGCACGTCGTGGCTTGTCCGACCTTTTTTGTTTTAGAAATCCTATGAACAGTGATTAGAAGGAACACAAGCTGAAATTACAGTGCAATTTATCCACGACTGACTTACCCAGAGAGTTCTGGCTCCAGTTCTATCTTGGGATCTGCTAACACAGACCTCTAATACATTGAAACAACTTTGCCAGGGACAACCCTTTAACTTTTCCAGTCTTTTATTAAAAAGGAAACAGATCTAGACCACGATGGGACAATAGTTCTGTTCTCTCCCCAAAAAACTTTAGTCAGCAACTTTTCTTCCATTTCCAAAAGCATTCAGAAAGGCTTCTGAAGCTTAAGCCAAAGAGCAGCTGTAACTTCCATCCTGAGAATCAAAACATTTAGAATAAACACACTTATTAACAGAAAAATAAGATTTATTGCTGTAAATGACAGAAGTATTTGCAATTGGTATATGACTCATGATATAAATATAACAAATATTAGATTGCAAGAGAATAAAGAATGTTTATTGAACAATTCTTTTTTATTAAGATGATACTCCAGTGACTGAGAGAATATTTGGCCAGTGCCTGAAAGGTTTTATATCCCAGGCTGACAGACTATAGGTCTAGGAAAAGCTGAGCACAGGATTTATCTAGGATAGTTCTGCCAGGAATATAATTTCTACAGAAGTTGCTCTCTTTGTTTCAGTTCACGCATTCAGATTTTGCTGCGGCTTACAGTGAGTTAATACACAGAGATTGTTTGCTTAAATACTCAACTGTACTACTCTGTACTTAGCAGCTGTCAGATATTTAATCAGAATGAGTAATTTATTAAACAAAGCAGTAAAGGTGCATTTTACAGCACTGGACAGTCTGTACTGTCCTTTGACCCCTGTCTCTCTTCAGTGGTGGTGCCAGAATGGGGCATGACACAACACCCAAAAACACAACTCACACTCTGAATCTGGGTTTGTTGAATTTAAACACAGCAGCAGTTTGAAGAGTAAACAGCAAAATGCAAACGTGCAGGACTGGAACATTCAGTTTATCTTTTATTCCTGCTGGCACTGTAATGGCTGTAATTCCTTCCAAAGCGCTGAATGAAACACAGAGATGTCTGTGCACTTAATTAACATGCAAGAAGTTTGTCTCCTAAGAGTGTTTTCAGGACAGAGACAGTGAATTCCCAAACATGAGTTTAGGAACTAAACCCATGGAAGTTTCTTTTATCCCCTTTAGAGCAGTTCCCATCCAAACCCTTTAACTCCTGGCGTCCCAGGACCTGCCAATTTGAGAATGAATGGAAATTCACATGGAAAGTTTTCACTCTTCAGGGTTAAACACTGGGAAGCGTGCTTTGCCAATACTCACACTCTGAAAAAGGATGTGGGATATTTGGTTTAGTAAGAATCCGAATTTGTTTGATGTGCTACATAGAGACCTTTGGGAGTGCTTCTGAAGGAAAAAGTTGACTAAAACAGGGCAAGATCTAGTTGTGCCAAGCAGATTTTAGACAGGATTCAGCCATGTGTAAAAGCTGAAGAGACAAACAGAGTGAAGAATGCTTTTAGTTTTATTTACAGCCACGTTTGCGTCCACACACTTCTGCAGATGCAGCTCCTGCCCTGCTTTCTGAGGATGACACTACACCGGTTCCTCGGGGGCGGGGGTAATTAATGAAATCTCACCGAGGGGGTGATTAAAGGGTTCCTGTGTCCCCAGCTGGGCGCGGCCGCGCCCGCCGAGCCCTCAGCGGGTGGGAACGGGGCTTCACCTTCTCGCCATTTTCGCACCCGCTGAGGCGCGAGCGCGCGGACGAGTGTCCGTTATTTTTGGCGGGCTTTGCCTGAGGGCTTCACCTGAGGGCTGACCCTCAGCCGCCTCCCTCAGGGCTGACCCTCTGCGCTGACCTTCAGAACTGACCCTCAGCCTCGTCCCTCAGGGCTGACCCCTCAGGACTGACCCTCAGCCGCCTCCCTCAGGGCTGACCCCTCAGGGCTGACCTTCAGAACTGACCCTCAGCCCCATCCCTCAGGGCTGACTCCTCATGGCTGACCTTCAGAACTGACCCTCAGCCCCATCCCTTAGGGCTGACCCTCATCTTCATCCCTCAGCACTGACCCTCAGCCTCGTCCCTCAGCACTGCCCTTCAGGACTGACCCTCAGCCTCATCCCTCAGCACTGCCCCTCAGGACTGACCGTCAGCCTCGTCCCTCAGCGCTGACCCTCAGGGCTGACCCTCGGGGCTGACCCTCAGCCTGGTAAGCTCTGACTCTCAACATGGCCCTGACCCTCAGCCCCACTCCCTCAGGGCCTGGAATCTCCAAAGAGCAGTTTCGTCTTTGGCGTGCACCTGTGGATCTTCTAAATTTACTGCAGCTGCTTCTGTGTTTTAGGATTGTGTTCAAAATGATGCCAGTTATTTGAGCTGCATTGTTAAGAGAAACTGCCATAAAATCATGAGAAATTTGAATGTGTTTGCAACATTAATTAGTTTGCTTTGTTTATCTGACTTCCATACAGCAAATTTGGAGAAATCAATACATTGCTTACATTGCTGACTTTTAAGATTCAGCAAAGAAATGAAAAGGAGTTTAGGTGACACCTCAGCTCGCAGCACAGCAGGTACCAGCCCTTCTTATGTGCCCTCCTGTTCACACCTCACTATGCTTTTATAGAGACATAAAATACATTTATATGTCGTATTCATACAGGATATTCAGTATTTAGCCCTAAATCCCCATTTCCTGAGTGGACTTGCATGGGTTACCTGTTTATTGCAGCACAGGGTGAGATTTTAGATGGATTCAGGGGACTGGTCACTGAGGCAAAGGTTTCATTAATGGGATCATATGCAGGACAGAGGGCTGAGAACATAAATTCTGTGAGGGAATGGCCTTTTATGTGGTTATGAAATGCAATTCCTATGTGCAATGTGAAATAATTAAGTAATTTTATTTACTTGTTTTAAGTGTGGGTTGTGTATTCTTTTGCTATTAATATAGCATTACTTAAATTTTAATTTTAGGTTGTCTGCCTGTACCACTGTTCAATCAGAAAAAAAGAACTAGACAGCCCCTCACTTCAAATCCACTTAAAAATGAACCAGATACTGTTTCTGGGACTCGTAGTTATGACTTCTCTCCCTCATCATTCGGTAAATAAGACTTTTTTTTTTTTTTTACTGCCTCTAAGTCCAAATGAATCTTAATTTACTGATTGTATTCTGTGAAATCAGACATTGTCTTTATCAAGAACTATATGCTTCCTTTATATCTATTTCTGAAAAGTTCATTATGTAAAAATTGTCCTCCAGGAAATTTCTTTCTCCTCTGTACAATTGAGCTTTTTATACTTCTTGCTTGAGGGAGTTTGACTCTTTGTGTGATGGAGAATGAAGTAGCACTGGCATTTAAATAGAGTCTCTTGAAACTGACCTTTTGTTTTCAGTTGATTTCAATCAACATTCAAGTCCTGTGTTACAAGAAGAAACATTTGTAAGATGTCTTTCTTGTAGTTCAGAAAGGAACTTCTGTTCTTCGCATGGGGCTTGGAAAGAACGGTGCAGAATTCTGCTTTTAGTCCTTTCATTATGTTTTACTTGTAATAAAGTTTAAAAGTTTGCTTACAGTAAAGTCTCTGTTGCTAATAAGTCTAATGTTTGTAACTGAACTATTGTCTAGAGAAGCAATCTACTTGTTAGAAGTTGTCTTATAATTACAAATATCAAAGGATCACATTCCCCTTGTTTCTTTCTTCTTCCTCCTTCCCATGTGAGCCTGTTTGTGGGACATTAAGCAGAGTTGGAGGCCTACAAAGACTTGCTACCTTTCAATCTTTTGCATTTTTATCAATATTTAATCCTTTGTCTTTTGAAAATTAGGCTGGGGAGCTGCAAACCCAGAAGTGGATGAACTGCAGAAAGCAGCAAACAGTGGGTATGTAAAAAGCAAGTTATTTGTTGCTTTTTTGATTTTTATTTGGATGTTAATTGTTTCATGAACAATCCATGTGTGTCTTACAATAAAGCTGCTGCTGTGTCACTGATACTTTAAACTTGTCTTTGAAAGCCAAGCAGAACATCCGATGGCTCCTTCCCTTATGAAACCACCAAATGCATCAAAGTTTAATTTAGCAAATGCTGGAAAAAACGTGTCTGCCTGCAGGTTGGTGAAGCCTTTCATGTCTATTACCCTTCCTTTTTGTTCTTATGTGAAAATGCATCTCACATTTTCCCATATGCCTGTAGCAGTCAAATAAACCCTTTTAATCTCACTCTCAGAGGAAACCTTGTTTATTTTATTTTAGAGTCATGAAAATATGTGAATTTTGGGTCAGGAAAGATCCATTACACAGGGCAGGACAATAACAGAGCAGGGTTTTAAGGCCTGTTGAAGACAGATGGATTTATGCACAGGTGTAATCACTGCCCTGTATATGGATAAATTTGGTATAAACTCAAGTGAGTTTGGAGATATTTAAAGCTAAAACAACAATTTATGCATTGCTTTTATATACTTCAATCACATAGCTCAGTATTCAGAAGAGGTACTGTGATACTGAACTGTTGTATTGCAGGAACAGAAATGAATATACTCCTTTAAATAAAACAGCAAATTCAAGATCTGATAATGGAACTTCTCAGAAGTTTGAGAACTTTTCCAGCAGTTTGAAAACTGTCCAGCAGCAAAAGCACCCTGACAGTCGTAACCCATCCCAGCTCATCAAAACAGACACATCCAAAGGACAGTGGCCAGTGAAGCCCAACACTGTGGCAAGAAGTCTGCAGGATCACAATCCAGCATATAAATTTAACTACAGCAGTCAGCAAAATAAAATGAATGAAAACCAGTTTGGTTGTGTCCCAGAAGATAAAAGTCAGGTAAAACTTATGGGCAGGGTTTATAGGAAAGACACAATGAAGAAAGCAATAAGGAAAGAAAACTGGTGGAAGATGATGAGGTTTTCATCAGCTGTTAGTAAAACCTGGAGCTTCTGGAAATTTAGAATTGAGATTTTCATACTGCAATAATCTAAACTCCCTAGTAAACTGGCAGGGAGTTGTTTGTATATTCTGAACAAATGCTCTGACTTTAATGTAATTATTGCCTATTTAACATAATAAATAAATGCCTATGTGCCCTTTGAAATAGCAAGTGTGTATGTGTAACTTAAGCTTTTGTCTTCATCTGAAAGGAAATTTCATCGTCTCAAGTGAAAACTAAAATAAAAAAGAATTCTTTGCGAATCCTGTCTGCAGTCATTCAGAGTGTGAGGCACTGGAGCCAATATGCCTATAAAACTGCACTGTTATTTGAAGTTTTAGGTAAGCATCATAGATTACAATAATGTAATCTGATAATAATGCTAGGGCAACAATGAGTGAGAATTTTTCAATGGCTGAAATACTTAAACCCACAATACTGGCATGAACACCATCTAATTTCCCTTCCATTCAGCTATCAAAGGTGACTGAAACACGTACAAAATTAACACTTCAGTCATCCTCCAACATCAAGTTTTTCTGTCCTCTTTCTTTCCTTGTTTTTAGAACGTGCTAATTTTCTGTTTAGTGGGAATCTTCTGTAGAGTGATACAGTTTTACAATATTTTTAATATAATTAATCTTGGAATGATTAATTTTTGCTTAACGGGACAGGCACACTGGATTCTGCAGTCACACCTGGAGCATATGGGGCAAAGAACTTTCTTCTGAGAGATGGAAAGGAGACGCTGCCTTGTGTGTTTTATGAAATTGTGAGTATTCTGTGTCCACACATAACACAGTCACCACTAACTCCAACCCTTTTTATGAATGCAAAAAGAAAACATAAATTTACAGTGTAAAAGGCAGACTGAATGTTTTTATCATATTGTTCCCAATTCAGAGCAATAGTCACTACTTAGGCATCCTCTTCTGTTTGAGAAAAACAGGTGAGACTTTGAGTTTAGCTTTTAAGTACTTGGTAACAGGAACAAAGCTGATGTAAAGGTCTTCTGTTTTACATAGCCCTCAGAAACCAGCAATGTGAAAAGCTTTTATGTGAGGTGATGTAATTGTTTCATGTGTTTATTATGCTTTGATGAAGGACCGTGAGCTTCCACGACTCATTAGAGGTCGAGTGCACAGGTGCATGGGAACCTATGATGCAAAAAAGAACATTTTCAAGTGCGTCTCTGTAAGACCAGCAACTGCTCAAGAACAGAACACTTTCCAAGACTTTGTTAAAATTGCAGATGCTGAGATGACAGCATATGTAAAAACTATGAATGAAATGTAAAAGTCAAAATGGTTGTCCAAACCCCAGTTTTAACTAATTGTTACCCATAAAGGCTGCACATGCTACAACATTTACCCAAACTACCACTGAAAATCTGGTTAGACATTTGAAAATATCACTGTGCTGTGTTATCCAACAAATGCTGTGTGGTGTTCATTGGGTTCCCATTTATGTGTTACCTGATTAATGTTTTTTAATTTAAAAATAAATAGTCAATATAATACCTGTATAAAATAACAACAGACCCTGAGGCTGTAGGAAGATTCCCAAGGACACAGAGGAAGTAGAAAAGAAAGAATTATTTGAACACAGAACTTCCTTGCCTTTGCCACAGAAATATTTTTCATGACAGATGGACCATGTACATGTTTATGTGCCTTTGCCTTCAAACATTACCTTTCATAGGTTATTCCTGCTGTTCCTATTTCCTTTTCCCCTGCTTCAGAAGCTTTGCAGCAGATCTCTTGGGAATTGCAAAACAAAAGAGTTGTCAAGAAAATAGCAAACAGTATGGGGATTTTTTTATTATTTTATTATACAGTGTTGGCAATTGGAAATTTCACATTTAAAATAATTGAAATATTGTATCCAACAAGTCAAATACAGAAAACAGTTAATATTCTAAAAAGGAGCCAGCTAGTCAACGCAGAAACACATTAATGGAAAATACAGCTTTTAGTTACACTTAAAAAATTATATATTTAGAATAAAACTTGAACCTGGTCCAGCAAATTGTAACAGGAAAACGCTTTTACACAGTTTAACGCGCAGACAGTCTTTATTTTAAAAAGTGATCTGTCAGTGTGAGCACAGGCATTGTCAGCAGCAGGTGAGATCTAAGGGATGTGCTTTACCAACTACTGCAGGGATCACTGGAATTATCACCACACTTCAGTGTGAGGTGGGCTCACAGCATGGATGCTTCAAGGAGGGTTGTGCCAATCCAGTTTTAGAGGTCATGTACACGTGTTTGATTTATTTAAATATTATAAAAATGTTATAAAATGTTAAAGGAAGCTCCTAATGGAAGCATTAGCTTGACTCATAAAAGGTGCAGAATTTTGCAGGATGCAGAGGTTGATGATTTGCACAAGAGAAGTTGAGCTTTAAGAAGTATAGGATTTGGTACAGCAGTGTTGTGAATTGTGAGACTGCTGTAACAGTAATTTAAAACTGCTTCCAGTTAAGTGATTGATGCTTCCAGTTTTGCACATGTGAAACTTGTGTTAATAAGTAATGACAGGAATAGGTCCTTTGTCTACTAGGTACGTTATGGCTGTTAATAAAAATCTAAATTCATTTTCCAGGAAGTGTTTAGATCTTTGCAAAAGAAGTTTCTATTTGACACTAACAAATCACTTTTTCTAGTGAAACATTAAGTGAACAGTCGTAAACATTACACAAAACAGAAAAACCCCTACTCAATACAGTTTATACACACTACTCAACATTTTTCAGTTGTTGGGTGATTTTTTTTCTTGACCATATTGATCCTGTCTTGTATAATGGTTCTAGTGTAAAGGCACAGGTTGGTTAGGAAAGAAAAGCCTGCATCTCTGTCTCTCTACTTTATGGTGATTATTTTCTTTTTGCATGTTGTTTGTTATTCCTCACTTTTCTGACTCTTACATGAAAATTATCAATCTCAGCCATTCATTAAAAAAGTGTAAGACATTACTGAAAAGCACATTAATATACAGAAGTGACTGAAATTTATTCTTCTTACTTTAGGGCATTCCTTCAGCCTATTTTGTTAAATGTTTGGAAGATTTAATTTCTCAGTCCCCGTGAGCAAAAGTGCAGAGCACTCATGCTCTGTTTCTCAGTGTACTTAATTCTGCATTGGAATCTGCATTTCCAAAGAACTTGCTAAGTTTATGTGCAGAAATTGCTTTCAGAGTGCATGGAAATGTAACAACAGGACAATTATTTTGGAAAACAATGCAATGTTCCATTGAAGTTTAGAAGGGTGAGGAATGTAAACAAGACTGCAGAAGTCTTTGATGTATATTAAAATAACACAGTGATTGTTCTGTTTGCATTTTCTTATACATCCTCAACATGTCTCTGTCTGTCCCTTCATGTACACCTTCCATTAAAAAAAAATAAAAATTCAGGAATCAGTTGGACTCAGCTAAGTGAAGAATAATAAATTTGATCACCTGGTTTGTGCCAAAATACAAAACTAAGAACTACAGCTCTGAATAAAATATAATCTATGTGATTTTTCCTCTTAATAAATAATAGAAAATAAAAGATGAGAATAGAATTAGAATTAAAATTTTATTTTAAATGAAAAAACACAACAATGGTGTGAGATTAGAACCCAATGTTTCTTTTGCTTAAGGCAGTCAAGTGCACTTATTTCAATGCTTGATAATAATGAATTCAGTGCTATGGTGGAAATCAGACCTCACAAAATTTCCATACAGACTGATGAAATATGGCCATTTGTACTTCTGACACAGCATCAGGTTTTTGCTGGTCATGTTCAATAGCATTTCACTTCACTTTTTTGTTTTAAAATCTGGACTCTGAATTGCAGTGGAAATACTGGAATTAGTTCGTTCTGGCTTGTATTATCACTACAGATAAGGACCATTGGGCACAGACATTTTTGTAAACAGAGATTTTTTCTTTTCAGCCTTAAACAACAAAACCCAAAATCTATAGCAGTCACAGTTCAAAACATTTTGTAAAAGTCCACTTAGAATTATAATTTAAAAAATACTGAGAACAAATTCTTAGGATTTTTTTTTGCTGTTGTTAAAGTATTAAATCATCATGAAGCCTTTGGAAGTAGTTGGACCTCTCAGAAAAAAAAGAAATTTCAATTTTACCCAAGACTTCATGAAGATGTCTCTATATCTTGGCAATTAGAGCAGAAGTAAAAACTGTGCCCAGAACTTTAAAATATGCAGGTGCTGCTAATATATATAGATTAAAAAGAAACTTTTCTTGTATACAGTTTTTAACCTATCAATCTTAATTTTAGGCTGTGGCTACTAGTAGGTGCTTTTTCACTAATCAAAATGATTGTAACAAAACATCATTATTGATTTTAAAGTTACTGGGTTCATAAAAGTTCTGACATTTCACAATATATCAAAAGTGAATTGAAGCTTTTAAGACTCACAATTTTGAGACACAAAAGAAACTGGGAGGTAGACAGATGTTTTGAGGATAAACTGATTATTTTTTTTGTCTAAGGCAGTATGCCATTATCTGTTTAGAGCAGTGTAAAGGCTGCTGATCAATCCTATTTCAATTCCAGAGCGTTCGCTGCTCGTGCTTACGGAAGACTTTCAATGCACTTTTAGTCTTTGTCAATCTGACCTTCTCTTCCCCATCTCCTCTCCTCTCTTTAGCAACACAGCCAACTGGAAGTGCTTCAATAATTTCTGCCCATTAGTGTAGACAGGAATGTTCTGTTCTTAGACAGTAATAAAATACTATAAAATAGTAGGTATTGGAGTTGGAGATATGTGCTCTTTTGGTGCATATTTTGCAAAGAATGGTAAAAAGACAGACAACATGACCCCAACAATTGCCAGCATGTACCCCCATCCAATCTGGCAGTCTCCTGCATAGTAGATGTCTGAGTTCTCACAGAATCTCTTCACAGTAGCAGAGTTGAAACCAAAAGGGTAAACCAAAAGCCCAGAAGCCATTATGAACACTAGAGAGGAGAAAAAAAAAATCACACCAGTTATTATCAAGCATTAATTCCTTAGGAAAAAAGTAATCCTTATTTTAGCAAGGCAAATATATATAATATTAAAATCAATGGGAAAAGGCACAGCTTATAAAACCCCCTTGTGATTGGCAGATTATCCTCCTTTTCATAATTACCTCTTGTGGACAGCAGTGGTGTGACAAGGCAGCAAGTTGGGATTTTTTTCATGAGAACTCTTGCCATTAAATAACTTCAGAAACGCTGTGATCCAAATTATGTAGCCATGTAAAAAGTAAGGTGGTTCAGATATAATGGAATCCAGAGGAGAAGAATTCCTAAGTTGGCAGATTCCAAACCAGCTTCACTTTCTTCTCAACAGCATTTTTGTGCTTGAGACAAACAATTACTTTGTTCTGCCAAATAGAAACTTTCAATGAAAGAGTTCAAATACAATTTTTAGATTCTGCTGATGAGGTTCTGATAATGTGAGACTCATTAGTACCGACTCAAATTGTTTAAAACATCCTGCATTTGAACAACTGATGAAAAACAACACCATCTTCATCTATCTTCTTTTTATTTATTTATTTTATGTCTCTTGACATGGGAAAGCCAGGCTTGCCTCCTGCAATAACCCTGCATTATCCATTGGCTTTTAATAGAACTTCACAGATTTTAGTCTTTAAAGAATCCATGTCATACTCAAGTATCACCATATGCAGGTAATTGAATCAACAGCAGAACCACTTTTCCAACTTTGAAAATAAGACTGCCCAAGGTACAACTCATAAGATAAAGATGCATGAAAATCCCCCAGGAACAGCTCTTGGAACCTGATTCTGCCCAGCTGGAAGTGGAGAGGGGCTGAGACAGGCTGGTGAGAGGGGTTACACCTCCTTTTGTTTGAGAGAGCACTGAGAAAACCACGTTTTCTTCTCTATCCCTTCTGCTAATCAATTGCCACTGTATTTAAAATCTCTATTTTAAAAGGCTTTATTTTATGTACTAAAAAAAATACCATGCAGCAGTCCCTTTTCCTCTCTTCCCCTTTTTCCAAGAGAGTGTTTTGTTCAGATTCAGGGTAGTGATTTAAGAAGCAACCAGAATTAACAGTTATGTTTGAGCTGATAGATAATTCATAACCAGCAAACATCTAATGAAACATTAGGAGTATAAAACAAACACTGTGTGCTATTCTCTGTGTTTGTGATTGCCTTTCAGGTAGGACGTGCATATTACTCCAATTATAATATTGGAGAGACTTAATCTTAAAAGTATCCACTAAAAAAGAGCAATCACTCATTAATCTTTTTAATTAAAAACC